GTCCTGGGATCGAGCCCCGCATCGGGCTCCCTGCTCGGCGGGAAGCCTGCGTCTCCCTCTCCCACTCCCCCTGCTTGTGTTCCCTCTCTTGCTATGTCTCTCTCTGTCAAATAAATAAATAAAATCTTTAAAAAAAAAAAAAAGAACTATGTGAATCTTTAATCAGCCATCCAGGATTTTAATAAAGACCCATGACCAAAATGAAGTGAGGAGCTATCCTTTCCTATTGAAATATTCTCACCTTCCATCTCTTTCTCTGTAAATAGAGGTAGAAACAGGTGCACATAATAAGGAAAAGAAGGGAGTTTGAGATGTGATAGGAAACTGGAAATATATGACCATAGATACCTACATAGTCATATACACACATACATATACATATATATATATAAAACACTTATATACACTTTGTAGTGTATATATGTATATTCAATTAAATATATTTCTATATTTAATATTTGTATATGTAATACATGTTCTTATATTCGATAAGTATATATATACATATATATATGCACATATATATTTCTCTGTGTCACAATAATAATTCTGGTACACAGTTTTAATTGTGGTTAAGATGAAGCACACCCAGACAGAAACAAATCTTAGTAAAATGGAATTCTCTGGTGGGTATGCTTATCTGTTTTTGCCCAGTCTCTAGGTGAATATATATTCTGGCCTCCTCCTCTCTCTTTTCCATTTCTTCTTTCTTTGTTTAACTGTAAGATAGAACTAGAGTATAGGCTTAGGTTTTATTTGCTTTATTCAATAAGAATTGTATCCCTTGTCATTAATTTAAAAAACATGACCTGACTATTTCATAGTACCTTTTCTCCCTCAAGAAGAGGAAAACAAAATTAAATTGCTTTTTATTTGCATCCTTCATTTATTCCTCTATTGTTCAATGTCCCATAATCAATTTAAAAGCTTGAATAAAAGTTGACATTGCTTCAGTGTGCTAGGTGAAAAGAATTTCAGAAATACAGCAAAAACATTAAACAATTAAAATATCGTAATATGCAAGATGGTAATTTTAAACTCCTTTTGTTGAGAAGTCATTTCTTACTCTAAACTAGAGAACAATTACAGGCCCCACCATTTATCTGTATGACATTTTTGACTAACGCTGTTGACCTTCGCCCCATCAGAGTAGCTGAGGACATTTCTGAAATACTTGTCCCTGTGCTACATCAGAGGGACACTCAGGTTTGAGAGGCCAAGTGCTGCAGCATCCAGCAACTGGGTAGAGGTCAGAGAGCAAGCTACAGGAAATGCAGGGGAAGAAAGACTTATACAGAAATTCACTGATGAAGCCTTGATATTTTAATCACTGCGTGACTGGCACTGTGGCTCATAAGAGGGATTCATCATTCAAATCTTCCAAGATTCTCCGTTAGCCCTCAGAAAATGAAATTAACTAAGTTGATAGTCAATTAATTATGTTATAGTTAATAAATTGGACACATAAAATTTAATTTTCATTTATAAATAATAAAAAATGAAAAAATTTAAAAAGGATGGGAACGATGCCTTAAATTCCTAACCTGGCCTAAACAGTGGACTGACCTACTTGATAGAACATTACCAGAAGAAAATGACTCATTTATTCAGCCTCCCCAAAAAAGAAAACCAGACCTTTTCTTTTTTTTTTTTTTTTTTTGGTTAGAGTTACAAATGCATGGTAAACCTGTAAATATGAGGACTTTACACTAAGAATTTTTCACTGCCAAGTTATACTGCATCTCTTCAAATGTGTCAAACTATTGAAAATACCATGAAGTAGGCAGACCCCATCCCCTTCTACTTGGCCTCATTTCTCAGTGAAATGTGCCTTTAGAATTCAGTTTCAACATCACACCCAAACTGTGCCTCAAGCTCTAAAAACACTCCTCTGCTGATTGTAATCTACACCCCTAAATATCAGGATTTGATGAACTACTTTGCTTTAAGGTACTTTAGGCGCTGATACAGCTCTAACTCTTGTGTGCCTGTGTTTTGCAAGGCAGTTTTTAAGTAACAATCAAAAAACTGAACTCTTGTGTCAACTATACTTCTATTTAAATAAATTCCATTAAAAACAAAAACCAAAATCTGGATTCTAATTTTGGTGTTTGAGGTAGCACGTCAGGAGGCCTAGGAAGCTGTTAAGAAAAAGGAAACATTGATTCTCTTCAAATTACCCCGGATAGGCGGCACCAACTCAGCCTACGAATAGCCAGACCTGTTTCCCTGCGCTGTGTCGCCTCGATTTTGAAGTCATTGAGAATACAGGCAAGGGTGGGAGTGGGAAAGAGCGACTCAGAGGCCAAATTCTTCAACAAATGATGCTTGGAGGTTTAGTAAAAAGCAAGAACAATGAGGACTAAAGACATTAGAACCGAATGGCCTGAGCCTTGGAGCACCAGGGTTTTGACAAGACTTCCCATCCTGTGGCAGCACTGGGAACCTAGGAGGATATCAACGCCAGCTCTCCGGGGCTGGGAATGAGGCAGTATCCACCTTCCTCGCAGACAACGGGCGAAACAAGGAGTACAGGCTTGAATGAGGATAAGGAAGAGAATAGTCAGTGAGGACACTGAGAAGAGTTCATAGGTCAGCAAGTCAGGATTTCTGAGAGAAAATAAAAGGGTTTTGGAGGTACAGGTGGAATGAGCAGCTGAGTCAGGGGAGACAAGTATGAGGATGAGTGTTCAGGGAAGGAGGGCTGAGCAACAAGATTTCCATTTTAAGTGATGACCGGGGAATAAATGAGGTGGACTCAGGCCTCACAGAATCAGCTGTGGCCCAGAAAGAAGGCCTGACAGGGGCACCACACAGAACATGTGTTCATCTCTTCATTTGCAGGGTGGTAGAGTGGCTGTGGCCAGTAGGACAGGCAAGCTTTGAGGCTCCTTGTGTGTAGGCAACAGGGAGAGGCCCACATGAGCCCATGGGATGGGAAACAGCCACCTTATATTTGCTTCTTAGGGCCAGTGCTGAAGGGAGAGACAGCAGGGACTCTTAAATACTTCCTCTGTTCAGGATCATCCCAGGGCCTGTGAAGCACTGAATCTGGAGGGCTTTCACCTCATTGTTAACACAGGAGCCTTATTTACATACTTCTCTTAGACTCTTTTTTTTTTTTTTTTAAAGATTTTATTTATTTATTTGACAGAGAGAGACAGCGAGAGAGGGAACACAGGCGGAGTGGGAGAGGGAGAAGCAGGCTCCCCGCTGAGCAGGGAGCCCGAATCGGGGCTCGATCCCAGGACCCTGGGATCATGACCTGAGCCAAAGGTCATGTTAACAACATTGTTAACCTCAATGTTAATCATTCCAGCTTACAGGAACTGGAGAAGATAGAAGCTGATACAGAGTATCTGTAGCTCCCCAGTGCCCAGAGCCTCACGCCCCTCTTCTCTGAATTGTCAGTGGTGCATTCTCGGGATGTTTTGTCTGTACTCCATTTCCTAGGTTTAACAGAGGAAGAAATCCGAAACTGTGTCCGGATTGAAACAAAGAAACGCAGGTTTGGTTTTAAGAAAACAAAAGTGGAACACCGGTGTACCACTAACAAGATGTCTGAGAAATACGAAGGTAAGAGTGCTTACTCTCTCCTAGCAGCTTACCGTGTCCACAGGTGGCTGTGATTGGAGTACCATAGGACACTTGACTGTGCTATTTTTAACTTTCCTTTATTTCATTTATCTACCTCAGAGCCCTCTGTGTGTGGGGCGGGGCGGGGGGGGAGGGTGAAAATAAAATACCATTAGCACTACTTGCAAGGGAAATAGTTAAGGTTTTCTTGATCTTATACTTAGGTTGTTTAACATTTATCGATTCTTCCCATGGACCGAACTCAATATTAGACATTGTAATGTAAAGATGGGTGTCAAGCAGGCCTTTCTATCAAGGAGCTTACAAACTACACATATAAATAACCATTAAAAATACAGATTGATAAGAGTCTCAGAGAAGGGGCGCCTGGGTGGCTCAGTCGTTAAGTGTCTGCCTTCGGCTCAGGTCATGACCCCAGGGTCCTGGGATCGAGCCCCGCATCGAGCCCCGCATCGGGCTCCCTGCTCAGTGGGAAGCCTGCTTCTCCCTCTCCCACTCCGCCTGCTTGTGTTCCCTCTCTCACTGTCTCTCTCTGTCAAATAAATAAATAAAATCTTTTAAAAAAAAAGTGTCTAAGAAAAGTATGTAAATAAGGCTCCAGCAACCACACCAGAAACCTGAGTGTTGGCTTAATTTCGCCCTCTTTCTAGCCTCCATATCCAATAAGTAATCACTCTACATCCTTGATATTTCTCCCAGTTACCCCCATCTCTTCATTTCCACGGGCATGCACTCTGTTCATTATTCCAGCCCGGATTACCGTGGAAGCCTCCTAACTGGTCCCCTTGCCTCTCCTGATGCCTTCTGCCAATCTATTCTACACATTTCCTGTGACGGGAAACTTTTCCAAGGCAAACCTTATCATGCAATTCTCATGCCTTAAACATGTCATGGTTTCACAAAACCTTAAAGATAAATTCCTGCCTCTCTCTCTCCCTCTCTGCCTAGCTAAACTATATAGTCTCCTAAATAAGTCATGCTTTCTCTTGTGCCTTGCCATTATAAACAACTCCTTCCTCTGTGTAAAGTTCTCTTGTTCCCTAACTTTGCCTGACTGATGGCTACTCATCCTGCTAACAACGATGGGTTGCGCAGAATCACAGAAACTCCTAAAATATGAAGCTTATATTCTCCTAGGGAGACAGACAAGGAATAGATAAAAATATTTACTATAACAATAAACAGATAATTTTGAATATCAGACCATATAGATGATCTACATGTATATGCCCATGTTAAGCATAAGCAAAATAAGCATTGGTTTGACAACTATGCGTTCATATTATAGCAAAAAAAGAAAAAGAAAAAAGGAAAAAAAGAACATGCAAAACAGATGAATAATCTAGTAATATAAAACCAAAGAATCGATATAGATTCTTTTTTTCTTTATTTTATTATGTTATGTTAATCACCATACATTATATCATTAGTTTTTGATGTAGTGTTCCATGGTTCATTGTTTGCTTATAACACCCAGTGCTCCATGCAGTACGTGCCCTCTTTAATACCCGTCACCAGGCTAACCGATCCCCCCACTCCCCTCCCCTCTAGAACCCTCAGTTTGTTTCTCAGAGTCCATAGTCTCTCATGGTTCGTCTCCCCCTCCGATTTCCCCCCTTCATTTTTCCCTTCTTGCTATCTTCTTCTTCTTTTTTTAACATATAATGTATTCTTTGTTTCAGAGGTACAGGTCTGTGATTCAACAGCCTTATGCAATTCACGAGCTCACCATAGAACATACCCTCCCCAATGTCTATCACCCAGCCCTATACCAGTTTTTCATGCAATAAATTAAACAACAATGTGAATTCAATAAATCAAGTGCTCAGAGACAAAAAGATTTTGAGAATTAATTGAAAAGGCAAATTTCAAAGCAAGGTACAAAGACAAACAAACATTGAAAAATATCACCATTATAGTTCTAAATAAATTAGATGCTGCAAGAGCAAAGTATAATTGCCTGAAAATAAAACCAAGAAAGTTAATCACATATATGAAGGATTTAAAGTAATTGATAATAAATGCAGAGAAAAATTTAGGTATTAACAGTTATTAAGGAAAATCTAATGGAAATGGAATGACAAATATAACTTAATCTGTGGGAATTTGTGTTCCTGAAATAGAGATCCCCAAAAAAATCAAAGAGGAAAACTGTTAAGAAAAAAAAAAACACAACTATGTATGAATATATCCCTAAAATAAAGGAACAAATTTGTTTTGATTATATGCATCAGAAATATTGTTCAAATATATAACTTCAAGACAAAACCTAATTAATTTACTAAATACAAAGATTTTAAAAATGAATTCTTCAATTATCTTGACTGAAAGAACAAGTCTCCCACAGAACAACAAAAACGACAAAATCTGTCTGTCCTTAGACTTCTCCATAACTAAATTCAATGCTATAAGACAATAAAGTCCACAAGTTTCTGAGAGAGGAAAAAAAAGTAATTTCCTATATAAAGGTAACAGGAAGACATCTCAAAACATGAGAGAATTCTGAGAATATACATTCTTGAGTACTTACTGAAAAAAAAAACTGCTCAATTATCAATTACAAAATTCATCCAACAAAGAGATGAGAAAATGTCAAATATGGACCCACAGTTTTCAGCTTGTAGGAATAAGGTGAGGACACTGCAAAATCAGAAACTATTACAATGGTCTCCACACTGGTTTATCAATTATCCATTGCTACCCAGGTGACACATTGCTAATACTCCTGAATTGTGTGAACTCTCCAACTCAAAATGAAATGTTCTAAGGAATGTAGTCATTTCTAAACCCAGAGAATGAAGTCCAATCTCCTTGACTTTCCATCCAGATCCTCTCTGTTTTGTGCTCTTTGCCTACCTGAACCTTCAACTTCAACTCAAGCAGATGTCCATGGGCACTGTCTCCAGAACATGGCACCATCCGCCCCTCATTCCAGGTCTTTGCCCATTCTGGGAAGGCATTGTCCCCTACCATATCTTAGCTTTGCCTCAGAGTCCTTTCATAGTCCCTCCCTAAGTGCCTAAGATCGCAGAATTCTTCCATGGACCTAACTCAGGAATCCTGAATTGCTGTACCACTCTGTAACACTAAGCCAAACTGTTTTGTTGGTCTTTTTGTGCACATTTCTTTCCCTTCCCTACCCACCCTTCTTATCTTCCTTCCTTCCTTCTTTCTTTCCTTCCTTTCTTATTTCTCTATAGTTTTGCTAATATTAGTTATGTACCTATTTTGTCTCCTTATTGAGAGTCTAAGTCCTTCAAATACAAAAGGCATATTTTACATTTCTCTCAGTCTTCAACCTGGCATATAGCAGATTCTCAACAAATGTTTATTAATCATGATGAAAATTTGCCTAAAATCAAAGCACATTTAAGAGTAAAACACACACAAAAACATAATTTGTCTATGTCTAATCCTGAGCTCATTTGATTAAATCACTGGACTCCAAACTTTTTAAATCTATAATGATATCATTAAAACTTTTTTACTATATATCCCTAATATACTTACTAAAAAAATACTAACGAACTTTATAAATGTAGTATTCTAAAAATATATTATGCACAAAAATATATACAAATGTGGAAAAGAGAAAATTTTGAAAGATAGCCTATATGAAATAAACAGAATTTTTCATTGTCTTGCTCATATTATAATGAAAAATTAATATTTCATTAAAAACTCCTTGAAATTTTTGATATGTTTTGGGCAGCTTTGGTGTCAGTCTCACGTTGTGGCTTACGAGAAGCTTGTGTAAGAAGTAGAAACATCTGTTCCTCCTTCTACTAGTTGGTTTTGCTTATGTTTGCACTATTGGTATCATCTTCAATATGCATTTTCTTCCTGGAATCTTTTTTTTTTTTTAAAGATTTTATTTATTTATTTGAGACAGAGCGAATGAGAGACAGAGAACATGAGAGGGAGGAGGGTCAGAGGGAGAAGCAGACTCCCTGCCGAGCAGGGAGCCC